TGTCATAATCACCTGAGGGAGAACAATAATGCACTCTACTCTGTCCACGCTCGTTGTGAAACTCAATGCGCTCGCGGCGCAAGTCAAGACAGCCTTGGCAAGCGACGAGCCACTTGGGATTGCCCACAACGCATGGAATCTACCCTGCCTAACCCGCACTGAATTCATCGAAGAGGCACAGTCACTTGTCCGCCTCATTGAAGAGCAAGGCAAGGACGACATCGGCACCGCCGAGACTCGGCTAAACGATTACGCACGAAGGCTAGAGCATCTGCGTACCCAGACCGTGGTGCAAATCTGGAACGGGAATGGCGGTCAACAAGCCGCATCGGCCTACATGCTTACGCTCAATGGGCTTCGAAAGGCGTTGGAGTCCGCGCTAAGTACGGAGAGCCACACAGAAGCGGCCGCCATGCTCAGTCGGCTCAGGACGCAGCTTCGCGCCATGGAGGCGCAAATGAAGGCACTTGACCCACGAACCGCCAGTCTTTCAGACATGGTTGAACGTATAGAGAAGGCATACAACGCTGCCGACCAATTGCCGACCGATTTGGAGTCGCTATCAGAAGCCAGACAACAGATCAAAGGACTTCTTCAAAATGCTGGAAATGATCAGGGAAAGATACTCGGTATCCGGGACGATGCCATTAAGAGAGACGTTGAGCTAAAGGGAATAGCTGACGAAGCCGCTGCAGTACTAAAGCGATGCGAGCAAGCTTATTCCGCCTCAACGAGCGTCGGTCTAGCGGCAGCTTTCAGTGAGCGTTCCGTATCGTTGTCAAAATCAATGTGGACTTGGGTTTGCGGCCTCATCGCAGCACTCGCAGCGGGAAGTTACTTCGGTACGCATCAGCTTCAGTCCTTGAACGAGTTGCTGAAATCTCCAAACGTATTGGGTTCCGCCGTTGCACTAAACTTGTTGCTGTCACTGCTCTCTGTCGCCGCTCCTGTTTGGTTTGCATGGATAGCTACGAAGCAGATAGGGCAGCGGTTCAGGCTTTCCGAAGACTACGCATTCAAAGCATCTATATCGCGTGCCTATGAAGGGTACCGCCAAGAGGCTCATCGAATTGATGTGGATCTTGAAGCCCGTTTGCTGGAGTCGGCGTTGGCCAGGCTTGATGAGCAACCCCTCCGTCTAGTCGAGCCGGACAATCATGGGAGTCCCTGGCACGAACTGCTCTCGTCCGATGTAGTGAAGCAAGCGGTTCGCGTGGTGCCAGACTTCGTGTCGCAGGTGAATAACCTCGCGGCCAAGGCAGTTGCCCCATTTACACCAGCGAAAGCTAAGTCATCTAATGAGGCTACTGAGGTCAAGTAGGCAAGCAAAAGCCTTGAGGCAACCTGTTCAATTTTCGCCTGTCGCGACTAACAATTAACGATAGATTGCGAAATTCTAAGCGGAGCCGCGATCTGATCCGTTTGTTGGACAACCCCGGTATCGGAGACTGAATTTGGGTTGCCCTGTTGACCTCTTTGCAGCACACGCTGTCAATGCTGCACCGATTTCATACACGAAATAATCTGTTGTACTCAAAGGGCCTGATTACTTTGGCTGTGATTACCGCGGATGCCGCGTGAGCTGGATTGATTAGTGTAGCGTATTCCTCTGGAACGATCACAGATGGTACCAACAGGATAGGGGAGCTGCATCGCTTGAGCCATGCCGAGCCGATGGATACGCTGGCTTTGCCTGCTGGAATGGCCGCCCATAGAGGGGATAGGGTCTGTAGGTCGAGGATCTCGCGTTGGTTCCAGACTTGCTCAGGTACCTCGATTTCTACCAAGAAGCGATTCAATGGTAGCCCGGCGTTGTCGACGTGTGCTGCTGTCTCTAGGACAGCGATGGCGATCGTCGGAGCGGAGTAAATTACTGCTTCCGAGTCATCATTCCACCGACCCGGGCTCACGGCAGCACCGCCTCCGCTGAGGTCGTCCGCACTGTACTTGCGGGTTTCGGTTGCGATACGCCAGAGCTTCACTGATAAGCCCCGCTGCGCATGGCTCCCAGAACCTTGGAAACGATCTCTACACCGGTTGGCGAGTCCAGGAACTCGGATGGTCGGCGACCTCCTAAAGCGGGCTGTGGCCGTTCCATCCACTGGCCCAGCCACCTTACCGTATCAAAGTCCTTCGCTTCTGGCGCTGTACTGTCGTCGATGATCTCTTGAGCGATGGCAAGCAGCTTCACCATCCCAACGACTGCGGTGCCGTCGACCAAAGCATTGGCTGCCACTTTGCGTGCGGCAGTAGCTTTGGAGATGCCCAGCATGGTGGTCAAGCGAGCAAAGGGGATCTCCATGCGCTTGGCCAAGTCCGCCAGGAAAATCACGCTGACACCTTTGCGTTCCGTTTCCAGAGTTTGCATGGGTGTAGCCAAGTACATCTGTCCCAGAAAATTGTCCAGCCCGAACTTGACCTTGTAGATCAAGGCCCCTTCTAAAGTGCGAGAAGAACCGTAGATATGCAGACTACCTGCCACGTCAGTTCTTCCAGTTGCGTCATGGAACGAGGCCACGATCTTCGCGCCTAGATCAGTTGTTGGTGGTGCACCCTTTGAAGTGCCTTTAACGGTTCCTGTAGTGGTCGAGTGCCGCATGCTTTACCTCTTGGATCAAGTGAGACAAATCATAGTCTCAAATGATAGTCTATCCCAGAGGAAGAGCGCGATCTTGCCTGGTCGCATCAGAGTATTTCTGGAACCTGTTCGACACCAACAAGAGGTGTACTTACTACCTTGATTTTGCTTGATCTTCCTTCCGGTTTTGGAGCGCCGAGCGCGATGCCCGTACTGGCGTTGAGATTGCCGTTGCCGCGCTGCCTTTGCGTGAGATCTCCAGAGCCTGAATTCGGGACTCGGCCTCCAGCATGCTTTGCTTGATGAGGGAAAACTCGTAGCCGGTCTCCTCGATGTGGCAGCTGGGTCATTGCACTGGAACTCAGTGCGAAAAAAGCCCGGCAGCCACACGGCCACCGGGCGTCTAAACTGACGATGGTCGTCGGCCCGCCCAGGGAAGAATGGCGGGGGAAACAGTTTATCCCAGTCTGAGTGTGTCAGTCTGGTTGTGGCGGTTATTCGGTGCATTCTTCCTCTGGCGCAGCCTGCCCATCGTAGGCCAGCCAAATGGGGTGCGCCGCGCGCGCCGACAGTACTGGAACAGATCTTCCTGCGGCCTTCATCGTGTAAAGGCGTCTCTTTTTGCGGNAGGCCTTCCAGTGAGGCCTTGGCACAAGTGGCGCCAAACCTGCCCCATCACCTGTAGCGATACACGTGATTATATGAATAATCACGTATGTTGTGGGTGACGGTGTACACAAAAACAACCTTAAATGCATTTAGTGTTGAAAATTTGCACAATCGAGCTGATGCTGCTAAGATTGCCTTAGAGGCTGAACACGGAGCAGCCTGTGCCGCAGTGCGCCACGCGCAAACCGAAGCCGGCGCAGCGCTGCCGCAGTGGCAGCCCGATTTCCCTGTGCGCTTGGTGTGTTGGCACTGTGGCGCTGCCCGCGACTTGCTGACGCACGGCCCGGCTCAATTTGCGTTTGAGGTTGCTGGATGGGCGAACGATGCAGGCATGAAAGGTTTCTTTGACATGGCGCGAGGTCGCGTGCTGTTGTTTTGCAATCGCGACCATGCTATGGGCGGTTTCGCCTGCGGCCTAAACAAGCGGCCAAACTTGCGGATCGTGTGACTACGTCGGCAAAACCAGCTACAACACAGCTACAGGACAACGCAGGCTTTTCCATTTAATACCGAAGCTATTCGGCACACGGAGAGATGAACATAATTGATGGAATCCGAACAACCCCCCTACCCTACTGCGCCGTCTCCTGAGCATTCTGCGTCGAATGCCCTTGGCGATATGGACACCACAAGCGCACCTGCCGTTTTTGGCCCCGTCAGGGGTGACATCCCTTCTGATCCTGAAAGCTTGGAGTTTCCACAAGCACTTCAGGCCCTCAAGTCTCAGTTCAGTTCACGCACGGAGTTCAACTTCATGGTGTGTGATCAGTTGGCCTTGCGAGGAGTAGCCCCAAATGGACTCAATGTACGCAAAGCTGGCTCCTGGGGCGCACCGGTTGCGGTCGGCGCAGATGTTCGCGCCTGGTACACCGCCCTCTCCGCCCGACTCTCCAGTGAACACGCCAGCATTCCAGAAGCCGCCAAACGCAACGCCAACACACTTTTCGAGCAGCTGTGGGCCCAGGCGCTGTCCGGCGTGGGAGAACCCTTGCGAGAGCGACTTGCCCAGGCCGAAGAGCGGTTGGCAAAAGAGACAGAAGTGCATGCGCGAGCCTCACTGGACATGCAACAGTCGCATGCCGCTGAGATAGAAGCCCTGCAGACTGAACTCACCAGTATTCGTACCGCCAAAAGCGCCTTGTTTGAGGAGGTGATCCAGGTCAAAGCTGATCTGGCCGACGAGCGACGTGTTTGCAATACTCAGGCTGACGAGATCCGGCGCCTGAAAAACAGTATTGCTCAGGCAGCACAGGATCACAGGACAACACTCCAGCAGCACATAGATCGACATGCCCAGGCGCTGGAGCAGTTACGCCTGCAGGCACAGGAGAACGCGGCCGCTTATTCTCGGGAGATGTCGAGCCTTCAGAAGGCATTTCAGGCAGAACGAGCACGGCTAGATGTCGCCACCAAAGCCCATGCTCTGTCCATTGATGGGTTTCGGGTGGATCTGCGATCAGCTGTGCAGCGTGGGGATCAAGCTATGGCCAGTCTTGTACAGGAACGCGATGTAGCCAGTTCCCTGCGCGAAAAACTTGGCCAGGTGGACATTGAGCGTGCGCGCCTGGAGGCGAGTCTCAAAACGGCTGTGGACGAATGTGTAAGTTTGAAACGGCAACTGGAACATGTGGCGGGCACGCCGCCGGTTCGCCCCAATGAACGATCGGCACCTGGTTGATTTCAGGTCGCGCAAAAATCCCACCCGCACGGGCAGCCTCAAAATACTCCTATGTCCAAACGTCTTCTCTCCAGAATGTCCAGCCTCAATGAAGAGGAACTTCGACGCGAACTCACTGAAATCCTGACGCACCAACGTCTGGGGCTGGTCTGGGAACACAGTGCCATTGATCGGGATAAGGCCATCAACCGAGATGTGGTGCTCCCACATCTAAACCCTTCTGTCTCACATAACCTAGGTGACCAGCCTTGTTCGAACCTGATCATCGAGGGTGACAATTTCGATTCGCTTCGCTTGCTTCGAGCGACACATGCGAATAAGGTTCGAGTAATCTACATCGATCCACCCTACAACACCGGAAACAAGGACTGGGTCTACAACGACGACTACGTTGGGAAAAATGATCGCTGGCGCCACAGCCAATGGCTGGAATTCCTGTACCAGCGCCTGGTGCTCGCGCGCGATCTGCTGGCTCCTGATGGGGTCATCCTGGTGTCGATCAACGATGAAAACCGTTCGCGACTGGAGTTGTTGATGGATGAGGTGTTTCCAGGGCGCAGATTGGGCAGCCTGGTGTGGAGAACAAAGGACACCGGGAACGATCTGTCACAGCGTTTCAGCCATGTACATGAGCATGTGCTGGTATATGCCAATGCGGGGTTCTCGTTCAATGGTCGTGCCACGGACAGAAGCAAATTCCGCAATCCAGACAATGATTCGCGAGGAGACTGGTCACCACAGCCATTAACTAAAGCTCATTCGCACCTTGATAGAGAAAACACGTATTACCCTGTTCAAGACCCCGAAACTGGGTATTGGTATCCGTGCGATCCAAACCGAGTATGGGCTTATGCCTCCGAACAAGTCATTCGTAAACTGTGCAACCGTGATGAAGATGCCGTCAAATCCGCTTTGGCTGCGTTGCGCAGCGACACGATGGAGGCCCTGATTGCTAAAAAGTTGATTTACTTCCCGCCGTGCAAGGCCGAGGAGGTGATGCGCTTCGAGTCCAAAGCGGATTTGTTGTCCGCAATCAAGGCAGGCAAAGGCCCTGCGTTGCCAAAGAAGAAAACACCCTTACTGCGTACAGACCTGCCGGATCTAGACTTTTGGGTGGGAAAACGGGTGGCGCCTGGACGTCCTTCTCGCAAAGAGCACTGGATCGCCAAGTCTGAAGCGGACCGACTGGCGCCCTTGAGCAGTTGGATCGCCGGAATGAACGAAGACAGTGACGGGGAGGACGTAGAACTGATGCTGTTGCGTTCGACACGTGGTGGTGTCGCCACAGACGAAATTAAAGGCATATTGGGCTCAAAAGTCTTTCCATATCCGAAACCCCTTTCATTGCTCAAAGGCCTGCTCGCGCAGGCTTCCCGTCCCAACGATATCGTTCTGGACTTCTTCGCGGGTTCGGGCACTACAGGGCATGCAGTTCTGGAACTCAATGCAGAGGATCAGGGCACCCGGAGTTTCATACTCTGTTCCAGCACCGAGGCCACTGCCAGGGAGCCTGACAAGAACATCTGCCGTGATGTGTGTGCCGAGCGCATGCGGCGAGTGATGACCGGCTATGGCAAGACGGCGGGCATGGGAGGCCGTTTCGCCTACCTGAATCTGGACAAGTTCGATTCTGCTGACGTGATCTTTGATGCAAAGCCGGCCAACCTTCGTCAGCTACTGGCGCTGCGGTTTTGTGGCGGGGCCGTTCTCGACGACCCAGGGGCCGATTCGATCAACGTGTTAGCCAGTTCAACACAGACCGCCGTGATCTACCTCCCGACGGTCACACAGGTCGCTCTGGATGCGGCTGCACAATTGCCACAGCCGCGGCTGATGATTTTTTCAGACAGACCGGATTCTGTTCGAGAAATTCTCCAGGCCATGGGCAAAGAATGCGACAGCCGTCCGGTGGGGCAAGAGATTGTTTCAGGACAGACAGGTAGGTCTGCCTTGGACATGGACGACCAAGGGAACGCATGACACCAAACGACATCATTTCTGGGCAGGAGTTGCCAGCCACTCCTGAGGATTACCAGATCAGGCACATCAAAGGGATCACAGAAGAATTGCTGAAACAGGTACCAGCTCCATGCGTGCTGCGCGCGCCCACCGGATCTGGCAAGACTTTCACGCTCACGAGGGTAATTGAGGAAGTCAGTCGCCACAAGCCCACGGTGTGGTTCTGGTTCGTGCCATTCACGAATCTGGTTCAGCAAACCGAAAGCACGCTGGCGAGTAATTCCAGTTTGCTCCGCCCCGTGCGTCTGGACCGGGGTCGCAATCAGGAGACCACCTCGGGGATGGTCATCATCTCCACGGCTGCGGCCGTGGCAAGGGCCAAATCCCGCACCACAGGGTACACAGATGGGGCAGACGACCAGATGCGTAGCCTGGCCGAGTTCCGTGCCCTGGCACAGGCCCGAGGCCTGGGGATCGGCGTCATCATTGATGAGGCCCACATCGGGGTTGAAAGTCAGACCGAATTTGGCAAGTTCGTGCACTGGCTTGATCCAGCACTTCTGATTATGGCTACGGCCACACCGAAGGACCGCAAACTAAACGATTTCCTGGCAGCTGCCGGTTACGACGGTATGCGGCCGTTCTCGGCTTCACGCGATGAAGTTGTAAATGCCCGTTTGAATAAGCGCTACATCGAGGCAGTGATCTACCCCCTGAGGGACAGCCTACAAGGGATCGCCGACTTGCACGGTACTGTCCTTAAGCAAGCTTGGCGGCGCAATGTTCGAGTGGGCAAGCTGTTGGAACAGATTCAGGTCAACGTCCGGCCTTTGTTGCTGGTGCAGGTGGGCAACGGCAACGACGCCATCAAACATGCCCGGGATCAACTCCAGCGAATTTGTGGCGTGCCACCTTCCTGTATTGGTGAACACTCGGCCGATGCACCTGACCCCGTGCTCATGGCCCAGATTGCGAACGACACAACCAAAGATGTGCTCATTTTCAAGCAGTCAGCGGGTACCGGTTTTGATGCACCCAGGGCCTTCGTTCTTGCTTCGACCAAAGCCGTGAACGATCCGGACTTTGCGATGCAATTTGTTGGTCGGGTCATGCGGGTACATCGCGCCATACGTGCCGCATTCCCCAAAGGCAAAGTGATCCCAGCAGAGATCGATTCGGCCTACATCTATCTGGCCAACGCACAGGCGCAGTCCGGATTTGAGGCCGCTGTGCAAGCCATCGGTGAACTCAAAACCAGCTTGCAAAACGAAACCGAAAAGCTCATCGTCCGCTCAACGTCCTCTGGCGGCGTGCACTTGTCCAACCGAGTGGACAATGATGGGCGGCTCTTCTTCGAGAACTCTTGGCTCGCGGCCATCCTGCATCAGAATCCTGCTACTCCCGCTCTTGACCCCACTGATCAAGCCCCGAAGGGGCTGGGCATGGCGCAAGTGACGATCTTTGCCGATGACGAACTGGACTTGCCTGTAATGCCAGTGGCCTCGACGAAGAAGAAGCACAAGGCCTCACCCGTGCAAACGGTGTCAGAAGTGCTGCAGGGCCTTACCGAACTGGACATCAAGGCCTACCCACTCCAGAACCATCGTCTGGGTGTACCCAAGGCTCTCAAGACCGAAGAGCGCCCTCTGCTCGGGGATATGGCTGCCGCCACGCGATCTGCTGCTGCACGTCTGGAGATTGATGAGGGACTCAAGGCCATGGCCATACGGGTGGCCACCGGCAAGGTCACTGAAACGGAGATCCACAAAGAACTCACGTCAGGGATGACCAGCCGCAAGGAGGTGGCCATCGTGATTGAACGACGAGCACTGGCCAGCGCCGCGCGAGAGGTCATGTTCGGGCTCCCACAGTTTGAGGAAGCCGATGCAACCATCCTCGTTGAGGTACTTGGTGCGCGCATGGCGGATTCAGTCGCACTGAGCTTTGCCGGAGTTGATGAGGATGATTTGCCATCGCCTCCAGAAATGCGACGCATTGAGCGAGATTGTGCGTACTGGGTGACGATTCGCTCGCAAGTGGAGTTGTCCGAAGCCCTGCACGCGGCCATTGCCGAACAGGCCCGCCTGGTGGACGCAAGCCCCCTGCCTGACTACATGCTCTTTCCCTCCGGCATTTCGTTGCTCCCATCGGAGAAGAACATCTATGGAGTGATGCCTCCGCTCAAAGCAGACATGGAGATGTTGGTCAAGACCGTGCCCATCGATATCAGGAACTGTCTTCGTCCGCTGACCTTAATGCTGGGGGATCAGATCTGCCGTTTTGCTGAATATGACGGTGGGCACGCCATGGGGGCCAACG